AAATTTCTACTTCCATCATTTACTCGCAAGACAATGAGAATTAATCCTCCTTTGTACTGCATTAAAGTTCCTGTTTCACAGGTGTGAGTACAGCGTACACAGGTCTCTCTGTGGCTCGGGCAGCTCCCGTTCCCACGTGGATGTGGAGCAGCTCCATTGCCTTCAAGCATTCCTGAGTCCAGAGAAGTTTACTGGGTGGCTAATTCAGATTAACAGTCAAATTCTTGTCCTCCTGCAAAAAAGGTGGGGTGGAGCCAGTCCCATTTCCGAGCTCCAGGTGACCAAGGGCATACACCCTCCTGGGACCTGGGCAGGCTGTGGGAGCTGTGCTCCCAGAAACAGAGCCTTTTCCTACAGCCTGCCTTAGCCGGCCCCAGGGTGCTCAGTGCTTCCCTGGGAGAGCTGGGAATCCCTCCCCCCATGCCCTGGCCCCGAAGCACTGCCTGCAGCAGACCTAGGAAATGGGGGTTGGTGTTGCAATCTTCCACTATTTGTCTTTTGAAACAGCTTCTTTCTGCTCCTGCCTTGGCTCTATGTGAGTGGCAGCACTGCCTGAACCAGCTCCTGCACAGCAGCCCTGACCTAGTGCAGGTGCCTTTTCCCCCATTTTTAAGGAGGAAGCAAATCCAGCACTCAAAGCCTGTTCTCAAAGCCTGCTGCTGTGGGGTCAGGCCAGAACAGCTTCTGTGACTCCCCCTGGCACTGGGGGACCAACACTGGACACTTAACAAAGCTCCAGCACAGCCAGAGAGCAGCTGTGTCACAAACCCCAGACCCTCCTGCAGGGTGTTCCTGGCCCCTCCCCACCCCTGTGCTCCCCCCGTCACCTGCTCCCAGTTCCGGGAGTGCTGGGGACAGTCCCTCGCCCCTCTGCAGCTCAGGCACAGCCACACCAGCCCTGCTGGAGAGCAGCTCATCCCACCAGTGCTCTGGGAACAGCAGCAGGATCCCTGCAGCGCCTGCCTCACCTTCCCCCAGCAGGAGGAATCTTCTCACTCAGTACTCTCCTCTGGCCAGTTTTTGGGAGTGGTTAAAAAGGCCAGGAAGGCAGGACAGGGGTAGGAAGAGCAAAGCACAGGGAGGCTCCCTGCAGAAAGCAGTGAAAGCCGAGATTCCTCCAACTGCAGGACTCTCACCCAGTTGTGAATGGTGGAGTGGAGGTGGGCAGGAGGAAGGCAGCTCTGCAATGAACTTCCAGCGGGCCTGAGGAGGGTGAGAGCTGTGCCCAGTCCTCAGCAACCACAGCTGGGGTATCTGCAGTGGTATCCCTGACATCTGCCCTTGCACAGCACCCATCACTCACTGCAGGCCTCAGCACACACTGCTTAAGTCACAGTGGGAGAACAGAGAAATAAAGCTTCATGAAGGCCTTTTTAAGAGAATTTTATTTGAGTGGTTCTTACAAAGATTGTTGCAATATGAAAGTCTTTGTTTGATAGAAATATCAAGCTGTCTTGTCAAACACACTGAAGTAACCCAAAAATATATTTCAGAGCTCACAGAGCTTAAAAAGAGCAAAGATTATATGCAACCAGAACAAAACACGTTTCTGTATTTCCTACCCCTTTTCAGCCTTGGCTGGAATCTGTCAGCTCTGCCTCACTGCACACGTGGAAACTCCTCTGGAAATGCAGAGATCGTTTTGTTTGGAAACTTAGACACACCTCACAGTATTTACAAAGAAACTTTTACAGATACATTAATCAAAAGTTACCATCAAGAAATAAAACCCTTCAATCCTTCTATTCTTACCGATTATTCAGCACAAAGCAAGCTGAGTAGCTGTCCGCAGTCAGCTTTCAGTAGCCTTTTGGATTTTCCATTTGTACAAAACACTAAATGTGTCCCTTCATCCAGTCTCTCTGTGATATTACCCTTGAGCAGATCACCCACATTTAGTGAAATGTAAAACGTCTTCGCTGCATTAAAAGAAAGGCTCGTGAAACATTAAAAATGTCATTATGTCCCATCTGCCTTTTACAGAGAACTTGTTATCTATGAGCTACTTCTCAGTTCCTACGGATCACCTTAGTCAATGTACAAGAATTACAAGGCAGAACAAGAAGTCAACAGCTTTGTATACAGTGGAAATGCTAGTTAGGGAGAATGAACACACTGCATTTCTGCTTACTTCGTTTTATTTTTAAAGGTAGCAGGAAGTGTACACAAAATGACATTAAATCCTTTCCTTTAGTTTTATCTAAATAAAAGATAACTCAATCTTCCTCCAAAAAATACCTATGTACAAAACTGACTAAATTAATCTTCATCGTCGAACGGGAACCAGTAGTTGGGTTGCAGTCATGGAGTCTGGGAAAAGGCTGTGGTACGTTGGGAGAGGTACATACGCCGCTGTGATCATTTTACCTGGGCACAGGAGCAAACAAAAACTACCATCAGTCACTGGGCACTTCTGCCAGGGCTGAGGAGCGTAGGGGTGAGAGGGTGAAACACCCACCTGCAAACCACCTCCCGTGCAGCGCGTTGACGGCCGCGATGGCAGCGGCGATCGAGGGACACTTGACGTACACATTGCCCTGTGAGACACGAGGAGGCAGCCGGTGAGGAGGGGACACGTCCATGGCTGTGCCCCAGCCAGCCCCTGGCCACACCCAGACAGGAGGAACACGGGGAAGGGGGCAGTGTCCCCACAGGCACCGCCCCACGGGAACAGTTAGGGCAGCACATCTCTCTAAGCAGGATTTCCCAAGACAGCTCAAAGGTGCACTTGATCCGCTCTCACCGAGCCCTGGGGGGCTCCTGAGAGCCCTCTAGAGGGGGGGCCCTGAAGGCTGTGAAAGAGAACAGCACACGGGGCGTGGCTGCCCCAGGGGCTGGGAGCCACTGACCTCAGCCACAGGTCCCTCTCTCCCCAGGCCAAGCTTCCAGCCCCATTCCACAAGGACCAGCACTCCCCATTCCCCAGGCCAGGAAGGACATGCAGCACTTCAAGGGAGACTGATACTGTAACAATTCTCCTACGTGAACTTCAGCATCTTTACTTGAAGGAGGACTGAGGCAAAGGGAAAACCCCATCCCAGCAGGGCAGAGAGCCTGAGATGGTCCCCAAGGTGAAGGACAGACTGATCTCTTGGCCAGAGATACCTGGAGTTTCCCATCTGTAAATTAAGCACTGTGCCTCCCTAATCCGGAGAACTCCAACAATCACATCCAACAACTCCGAGACACACAGATGCCCACAGTAATGTGTGGCATTTTTCTGGCTGCCTGCTTAAAAATAGACCACCATCAGTAATTCCTGAACCAGATCAGATTCTAGCTGAAAGAGGTTTTTCAGGACAATAATATATTAAGAAACAGACTTCCCTGTAGCAGCCTTTGCCAGCCTCTACTAACTCTTCCCACTGATCTGGCTCATTCCTTGCTCGGGGGCTGCTGATGAAGGCACTAAGCAATGAACACACAGCTCTGCTCTCAGCCCCCTCCTGCAAAGGCACCCAGGCTGCCCAAACCCCAAAATGAGGGACAGCAGCACAAAGCCGTGGTTTCCCTTGACCCCCCAGTGCAGCACACGAGCCCTGACAGCCTCAGTGTGCCACTCTGGCTGGGACAGAGCCCTGAACGTGCTCAGAATCTCAGCCTGCAAAACAGAACAGCACAAGGGAACTTGGGTTCACATCCAGTATTTTTAAATATCTGTGGGTGTTTTATATCTGGGTCATCGCTACTGTAACAAAACAGCTTTTGTTTTTTATGAAACATTTAACTCATGACACAGTAGCTGTAATTTGTTCTTTTAAATCCACTTGCTAATGTAAAATAGAATTGCAGCTCCATGTGCTCAGAACATATGTGAGGTATACTGAGGGCTGGTGCATTTTTGAGGGGGTTGTGTGATGAGTTTTTTGTTTGGTGTTTAGTTATTGCCCTTGGGGGGGTGTTCTGGACTGCTGACTGGGTCTTTTTATCTGTCAGAGAACAGTGATCTCTCAGTAACAGACACACACTGGGAAAGGTTTCTGCCTCCCAACAGTCCAACACAGCAGTGATCTTGAAGATTACAAGGTGCCAGGGACACAGTAGCTCCCACCTGAACCCCCTGCAGCCCCTGGGAAAGTGTTTCAGGTGACACTGTGGCAGCTGCACAGTGACAGCAATGCTCAGGGAGTGCCAAGTGCATCACCAGGGCAGAACAACCCCACCTAAACAGGCTGGGACAGCAGGATGGGTTCCAGGCATGGAACACAACAGGACACCTGCAGGGCCTGAAGGGTAGAAATCAGCCTGTCAGACCATCCGAAAACTGAACTTCAGTCTGGGCTGTGAATTCTTTATAAAAGGGGTTCCAAATGACCAAATTTATTTACAGACCTTCCAAAGTTTATGTATTCTAAGAGCTGAAATACAGGGAAGAGGTAACTAAACCTGGGGATTCTGTCAACACAATGAAGAAAAATACATTCACCTGTGTAAGATGCAGGTATGAATCTGGAATTCCGTTCTAGCTCCAGGCCCTCAGACTGTCCCCCTGCAGGTTTTAACATCACCAGTGACCACAACTGTTCCCCAGCCTGGGATGAGGCTCCCCTTTCCTGCACACCCCCATTCTGCTGCAGGAGGGGCCCCCTGTGAAACCTGGGCTGTCCAGGAAGAGCAAACTGGAAGTCCCTGACTTGGGGGAAATGCAGAGCTTAGGAGAAAAGCCAAAGGCCTGGAGTGGTCACTACTCTTCAGCCACAGAACTTCAGCTGGGTACATCTGCAAGAGCAGCAGCAAACTGCTCATACCCACAGCAGTTACACTCAGTGATTCACAAGGAGGGAACACCAACACCCTGGACAAACTGCAAAGTTGCTTCAAGAAATTTTGGTTCAGTTTAGGGAAAAAACTCCGTATTTGCAATGCTCCCTCTAGAGGAAATAAAGCAACAGAACTGCTGAGAGCTGCTCAGTGTCCCCCAGAACCAGGCATACCTGAGCTGAGTTTTTGTCTACATAGATGTGGATAACTCCTCCATGTTTGTTACATTCCTCAATCACATCATCTTTAATTTCTGTGTCCCAGCCAGCTTCTTCTTCACTGCATGGGGGGTAAGAAAAACAGGACAGAGATATCACTCAGACACAATCCAGCCCAAACCCATCAAACACACTCCCTTCTCACACGTCACAGTCATCAACAAATGCCACACAGCGACAAATCACTTACGTTTGAGGATTAAACATGTTGGAAAGCTGGAAGCACTGTGTTGCAAGTGGTTGTACAGAAGCAGCTGCAGCCAGAACTGTTGCAATGGAAAAAAAAATACCAGTTACATATCTAGGAACCCACCATGCATAGCTGTAGCTTAAATGAGCATCTCCTATCTGTTTACAATCCCAGCATTCAGCCACAGCAGAAACAGTTCTGACTAAACAGAAACTGAAGGCAGGAAAGCAAAATTCACAACGAGACAGTACCAATGATAGATCCATTTACACTGATCAATACCAACACCAGCATGTGTGAACCACGGTTGAAGATGAAAAGTGAAAAGATAACCCTGTACATTGATTTTGGCAGATTTTCCAATTAAACATTAAAAGGCAGAGACACATGCATCTTCACCTGCATCTGAAAGGTCTGCCTGAGTTGTATGCCAGCAGCACCTTTAATGTTTTGCTCCTCATGGAAGCTCAGGAGAGTGGCACCTCTCCAGCTGACACAGTAAGGGACAGAGACCTTGGTGAATTCTCAAACCTGTTTTAAGCACCTTCAATTATGGTTCAAAAGTGCATCTGCACTTCTGTCCCTTGAAAATGCAGATTATAGGTAACGTTTGACAACAAAAATTATGAATGTTTAACTGTAGGATAGATCTGTACTCCTTCCCTGTAACTATGAACTTCCTGCTTGTCCTTTCTTGCTGCTCCTCATGGAAATACACATATCAAACACTGTCCCACAGGTGCCCTTCCACAGGGAGTGTGGAGCTGGAATAATGGCCCTCTCCCCCTGCACTGCACACATTTAGGGTTGTGCAGTCAGATAATGAACAACTCAGACAGTAACTCCAGCTCCTGATTCCCAAATGACCCCTCTAAGCAAGGAGAACCCCCCAGCCACACCTAAACCCACAACCACCACCCCACATGTTTTCTTGGCCTAACACGTGTTAGGAATGTTCCCAACCCAGAGGAAATGCTACAAAGAATTTCCACTCCAAAATCAATCACAGATGACTCCCCACAGACATCTACAGAATAAAAAGGCCTCAGTGTGGGCAAACTCTGCACCACAAGCATTTCACTTACAGCCATCTGCAACAGGACCTACTAATTACAACTCACATCAAACACTAGTTTACCTTCATTCTGCTGAGACAGTCTCGTTTGTAAATCTAAAGAAAAATACAGAGAAGTTAATTAGTATGTTTGGTACCATCTCTGCCTGCCAGCCAGGTTGTTTAGCTTGTACTTCTGTGGTTAAGAGCTTATTCCAGTGCCTCAACCCACTCTCACAGTTCCTCTCTAGCTGTGAGTGGTTTCACTGATTTCAGCTCCTCAGCTGGGCCATTCTGCACTTGACAAGATTCCATGACCACAAAGGTCAGTGGATGTCCCAGAGAAACAACACCTTCAAAGGACATGTCCTTTAATTCAATGTACCCCCCTCTCCTTGCCTTTGCTCTGCTTCAACTCTTTACAATTCATTTCCAGGAGAAAACAATTACAGCAATTCTGACAGGCAATAGAGGTCTGACATCTTTATTAACAGAAAGCAGTTAGGCACAGCTACAGAAACCTGACATTCTCAAAGCAGTTGTCAAATTTCATTCTGAGTAGAATAAGGTGGTATTTCACCCACTATCTTTCCATACAGATGTCATAATGACAAAAGAACCTTTGGTACTTTTCAAACTCAAAACATTTTCTAAGAGCTGAGAACATTTAATTTGCCTAGGAAACACTACTTACTTGTTTAGCAACATTCAGCTGTCCTAATTTGAAATGATGGGAGCAAACAAATGCAGACTTTCTAGCCATGACAACACTCAACGTCTACCTCAACAGAAAATTCAGAATTCAAGAACTGTAAGCATGAGCCCCTTCAGTAATTTCCCTTTAGCACAGACACGAGGAGTGAGAAGACTGAAGTAAACCATCATCTTAATTCACTGGTTTAGAGAGCAGCACAGTGACGGACACCAAGCAAGCTTCCAAGCTGACCTGGAAACACCCGAGGGCATCAGGTGCAAACATAATTTTGCCTTTCTAATAAACCCTCCTCAACAACACTGGAGAACCAAGAGGAGTGAATTTTTCTCTTTATCTTCCTCAAGTGCCTTCCAAAGAACACATACTGAAAAGCAAGACTGGAAGGAGCAAGCTCTGCAGGCCAAGCTGTAACAAGAGCTGGCTGAGTTTGGCATCTTTTCCATCCAGATCTGAACACAAAGAAAACCTCACCTCATAGAGGGAGAAGTATCGTAACAGCAAAGGCTATTTTAGCCTGTATTCTCTGCAGAAACTACAAGGATTTGGCCAATCTGTAACTAATGACCTCATTAATTCTCATACCTGTTTGAAAACAAAGGTGTTTAAAACCTCTGAACTCCCTCACTTTAGAGGACAGACACTCTCCCTCTGCAACTGTGACCCAACTGCACAGCACATCACGTCCAGCTGGGTCAGCTGGGGCTCCAGAGCCGAACGCTCCAGAATTCCTGCACCAAAGCTGCACATACCACCAGTGCAAAGTCTGGCCAGGGCCAAGAGCCAGAACAGCTGTAAACACAGGAAAAAATCAGCTGCCCCTGTCTTGTGCAACAGGTTTATCAGTTAATTATCTACCACTCTGAAACAGAACCTGCTGTTCACCAGATCTTTCATCAGCTCACTGAATTCTTTTGTTGCTCGTGACTGAAGAATGGTCCTTTCCTCTCGCTTCTAAAATCACTCACAATTCAGAAATTCACTGTCTCTCTTTACTGTCAACTCTTTCCCTACATGTAGTTTTAAATAATATGTGGCAACTAAAATTAACACATCTTTTGAGTTCAGATCTAAGTAACTTTTCCAGTGTGTTCTGTGTATATAACCTCTTTGGCCTGATGGGAGTACATGCTCAGTGCACAGGGGACAGCAGAAATACAGAAACACCTACCAAACACTTTGTGTCTTAACACAAAACCAAGTTGTGTGTTTATTTTGAAATCCAGATGGCTTTAAATAGGCCAAAGCCTGCCCAGTAATGCCCAGCATCCCAAGCCATGACTGTAAGAGAACAGAGACCAAGCAGAGGTTCCATATGGTAACACCTAGATAACCTTCTTTGGCAGCACACCTTCCCAATCTTCCAAAAACAGACAGCTCCTTCCACCAGAATGGAATACTTTGCCCCAGAAAGCATTAGAGGAATGCTCTATAGGCTGAATATTATAAGTTTCACATGTTCAGACAGAGAACAGGGTACACAGCTCCAACTATTCAGCTTTCATTCCTTTTCCTGCGGGAATAATGGTCAAGTTGTCAGGCCTCCTGTAAAACTGATTCTTGAGCTGCCTGAGTTTGGCTGAACCCTGCTGAGGGTGGCTGATCAGAGCTGTTCCTGGCTGTGTAGCTTGTCTCAGGTGCTGGGTGTGCTGCCTGCAGGAGCACAGCTGACCCTTACAAGGCATCAGCTGCCTCATACCTGTCACCCAAACTGCAGCATTTAGGTATTTTCCTCCTCCTGGGCAACCCTTCACTGCTCATCTCCCAGGCTACATAACTGGAATGTGATTTAACCCCAAAGAGGTGAACAATATACAACACCCCAATAACTCTTACTGACAGCACCTCTGTGCTCACTCACCTCACCCCTACTCTTCACTGTGGTTTTTCATCTAAGTGCTAAACAAGATAAGCCCAACACCTGAATTCTGGCTTCAACAGCAGCCTCTCACCTTCCCAGCTTTCACCTGCAAAAAATCCTCTGAGCCAGCTTCTTTACACCCCCTGTACTCCCCACTTCTCTGGCATAGTAACCTGCCAGAGCTCAGTGAGAAGAGCTCTGCTCCTGCTCCTCTGCCAGGGACTGTGAGCCTTGAGATGCAGTTCCTCTGACAGGATGCTACACTTTCATAATATTCTCCAGTTTACCCCTCTCTTCAGTGTGACTTCTGCAGGAGTGAAGTCAAGACAGTAACAGGACCAGAATCTGGCCAGATGGCATTTTCCTCCCATACAGATAGAGTTAGATGTTCCAGCTATACACAACATCACACTGTAAATGCTTACGGACAATACCAGAGATGAGATCTCATGTTTCACACATCTATTCCCTCACTCATTTCATGGGAGTGGGAACTCCTCTGAACTGTTTAAATTCAGCTCTTCTAGCTTTGCTTCTACCTTGGGAATATATATATTTTTTTTAATTTCTATTTTTTTATTTTACTACATATTCCTAGCCTACCCTCCTCAAATTCCAACCTTTATGACCAGTGTACCCACTAAAAACTTGAGGCAATGAGATACTTTTAGAAACACCCTGGGAACAGTTTTTCATTCACCTGAGCCCTGCTTTGTTTTTGTTCTCCAAGAGTTGTAAACCTCCATCTGTCCTTTCATGTATTTTACAATGTCTAGCTCAGTCTGACTGTTGGCAGATAAATCTCTTTGTATCTGTTTCCCAATCTAAAAATATTCTTTTGTTGTTAATCCTTTCTCCTATTCTTCATAGGCTGTGTGCTTATTCCTTATTTCTTTGAGGTAGTTAATCCCCCAGGTTCAGTGTGGAGCCCATTTTTAATGGGGTTTTTTCTTCTTTCTGTGTCATACAGACCCAGTACAGCATTAGAATGTGGAACAGAAGAACTCCTCACATCCTGCCTGTTCAAACACCCCGATTTGCTCAGACCAGATGACTTTATTGCCTTGTTTCTTCAACCATTGCTTTTGAAATCACAAGCCTTAGTTACAGACCTGTTTGTTTATCCTTTCATTTAAACATGAGCAACTCATGATCCCTCAAGTCAATGGTCATTTCTATTCTCATCCATAACATCTTCATTACTTACCCAAATGAGTTTAAAATAGCATCCCCTCTTCATGAGTCAGTGAGTGTTTGATGAAGAAATTTGTCGGATATCACATCCAGGAATATCTGGGCCCCACCATTATTACTAGCAATTCTTCTCCAATCTGTATCAGGGAAGTTAAAGTCTCCCACAATGACATAATTCCTGGTAGTAATTTTCTCTAACAAGAGTAAAGAGATCTTTAATCCATAACCAAATCTCACTTCGGGGATACCTCATGACTCTATAGCAGTAAAAAGCTTTATCTTTTTCCAAAGTTACTTCAATTTGCACATGTCTGCATTATTCCTTTTGTACAATACCAGTGGAATAAACAGTGCTACCCCTACCACTTTCATTTCTACAGTTGCTCAACATGCACCTTCTTCAAACACCTGTATTCAGCCTTATCATTTATTTCTGAGCCAGGTTGTCTCACGCTGATTCCACCTATCTGAAAAGTTCTGCATCAGACATTTCTGGCCATATTCTTCATTTGGTGAGCTTGGTGAGATTTTTTGGCCTTGCTTGTTTCAAATGGGGGTGGGGAAAGGATTGGTTTTTTTTTAAATACTCCTCTCATTTCTAATTGCCTACACCTGTTTCCACTGTATCACCTGCATTAACAGCAATCTGACTTCAGTAGCAGTGACCTTTCCTTCTCTTTCTGGTCTAGGAACACTTTTCCCTTACCTCTGTGCCTTTCTCATCCTTTTCTTCTCTAACAGACAGCCAACATTTTCCTTTCACTAGCCAGTTCTTTTCCTTTCAAGGGCACATCTCTAGAACAATCCTATTATATTCTTTTAGCAGCTGTCTAAAGCTTTACATGTGTGCTCTTCACAGGACTGCACCTGACCTTCAGTAACACGATCCAGGCCTATCTTATTAAGTCTGAATCCCTTCTGTCACAAACTCTGCTGGAAGGCAAACACAGCAATGCCAACTATTCTTTGCTACTTTCTCACATGTTCCAGCATTTAGTTATTTGTGACACTGAGTCTTTTCTACTGCTATGACAGTTGAATGTTCTCTGTTCTTAGTATTAATCAAAGGTAACAAAATGAAGAAACCCTGATCTCCTGTGGGAGGTTACTCACTGCTCTAGTCCTGAAGACCACTGTTCAGGCCAGTAAGAATCAGCAGCAGCAATCCCATCCTCAGCCTCACTCCAGCATACCCACCTGCACAACACACCGACAGCTCCAGCCAAATCCAAGCAGCACGTCTCCCGACATGCAGTGTCCTTCCTCCCAGGACACACACTGGGTGTATCTAACACTGCACTGCCACCCTGGGGACACGGCCCCCATCAAGTCCCCACAACTTCCTTGCCCCTGGAACAGCTCAGGCTTTTCATAGGGGGCAATGCCCTTCAAATCTGGGCCTGCCATCGTTAGCAGTCAACATTTCCAGTGCAGTAGAACTTACAAGTCCCCATTAGCACACAGAATAGTACTGTTAGAGATGAAGGCTTGGGATGAATCAGGTGAACTACAACAGATTTGCAAGAATCCTGCAAAGTGAATCACAGCCATCCCAACTGTGATAGATACACTGTCCCTGGTTATCTGCTTACGGAGTTGCAGCATTTTACAGTGTGCAAAACACGCTGCAATACCTGTGTTTTCATTTTAAAAGATCACAAAACATATTAAAGTACCTCTAAGCACAGAATAATAAAGCATAAAGTAATTCTGAAAAATAAATAGGCCATCACTTCTTACCTGTCACAGCTCCAAAGGCCAAAGAGCCGCTCATCTGCAGAGCCTGCTGTGCAGCTGGGGGAATCTGCAAACCAGTACCTGCAACACAACACAGTGACCATGAGCAGGCACTGCCACTCAGTCAGGGATGCACTAACACAAGGATCAGACATCTTAGTGTTGTCAAAAGACTAGAGAAACCATTTCATGCATCTATCCCAAGTTCTGTGGGGGAGGTTAATTCAAACTCTGCAAACTTGTGTATTTTTTGCACATTTCCTACTGAACATCACACACACCTTCTGCAAGTCTTGCCATCAGCTGAAGGCGACCAGTTGTTCCCAAGTCAATTCCAGTCCGCTCCAGCTCATCGCTGTCCAAGAAGGAGCTGGCACTGGAAGCATCGGTACGCTCAGTGACATGGCCCACTTTCATCGGCCTCCCAGCCAGCTCAAATCCATTCAGTTGTTCCAAGGCCTTTTTGGCACACTCAGAGTCTGAGAACTGTAGATTGGAAAATGGGAAATTCAGTAATACTGCCTACAGGATTCAGCAACACTTCTACTGTATGCAATATCCACAATTACAGAAACACAAACTCTTTACGATAACAGCAACAAGCTTAAATATGTTCTGTATTTTTAATCGAAACCAAACACACAGATTTTGGTATTTACTGTCTCATATTCAGGTAATGTATTTAAACATCATTATAGTTCAAGCTACAGCATCTAGATACTGCAATCAACAGAAGTCTTGGCCTGCAGTTCTCTTGAAAGAGTGACAGTCACTTTCTTTGTAACCTTACAACTGCCATGGTATTTACTGGTTATTCCTAACAGATGTTCTGCTTTATGCTGTGAAACATCAAAACAAACATACAAACATTTTATCAGTGTTAAAACCGTCAAGTCTGAACTATATAGTTAGTTTGGTTTCATTTGTGTCCAAGTGCCAGAGGTCCCAGCCGAGACTTTTGTCCCCATGACAAATTGCCAGGTCAGTCAAGAAACTCAAGTTCACAAAATTGTGTACCTGAGGGCAAAGAGGAGAGACGTTTTCAACTGAAAGTTTCACCTTCTAAAGTTTTATGTCCCACAAAAAGCTCAAATTCCATCATTTTCACAACTGTGAAAAAAGCCAGTCTTTACCAGCGTCTTTGCCTGCAGAAGGCAGCATTTGCTTTCCCAGGCACTGACTCCAAAGGAAACTATTCCCACCTAAACACGTCCACTGTTCACCCACAATACCCACACAAGTGGCAGAAACAAAGAAAAGGGGCAGTGCTGTGTGTCCTCTACATGACACTTCTAAAATGGGACCTGACAGAGATAAAGGAGCAACAGAGTAGCTGCTACCTGGATACAACAGCAATGTGGATTGATAAGGTGTATATACAGCAGATTGCTCTCTACATCTACGTGATAAAGCTCTATATATACATCACTACTGCATGAGGTTACACTCAGAAAGGGCCTGAGAGAGCTGGCAATGCCATCATACCGTGATGAATCCATATCCTTTTGAGCGTCCAGTTTCACTGTCCATCATCAGCTGAATGCTTTCAATCTGAGGGATAAGAATAGAGCTACTTATTAGCAGACATTTTGGAACAACCCACAAGATACCAAAACACCACGTGGAAACAGCCCTGTCAGATACACAGATGTGAATGTGAAACCACTGTTTTTATTGGGTTTTTATCAGTTTCTCATTCCTTCCTCAAGTCAAAATTAGTGTACAGACAGCCAGACAGGTGCTCCAGTACTAAGGCAGGAACAGGTAAACATAAGGGTGCAACATTCCTCATTCAACATTCTAGCAGATCATGAGCACACAGACACATCAGATCCTCACTGAAACATCCTGGTCATGCATCTCACCTGCTGAGAAACTGTTTTACTAGCAAAGCAGTTTGCATGATTTACTAGTAAAACAGTTTGCATGATTGACCAGGGTCTTTAAGGAAGGGCTCTGTATTTTTAATAATTACTGGTATTTGTAAACTAGAAGTTTACAGTGACTGAATTTAAAACACAGTGCTGAGTCATCCATGAGCCATAAAGTAGTGTTTGGAAGAGGCAGCAACACAGAAGTAAGACAGAACTGAGTTAAGGACTGGAATATATGGAATAAGAAGGAAAGACCTTCACAGGTCTACACATAACCCTCCTAAAACTACCTTAATGCTACTGCCAGACCTTGAGAAAACATAAAACCAAACAAGAACTGCAGCCATGTGGATTAAAATCTAATCAACTGGAGCAATTTTCCAGGGTTTTGCACAAGAGATTTAAAGGGATGGGCATACTGGGTTTGAATAATGCATGTGAAAAGCACTGCCACCATATGTATGAAGCAGGGTTCATACCCAAGGACAGTATGAAAAGAACCCAAACATTAATGGGCTTCTTTTTCCCCATTAAGTACCTAACTTTTACCCCAGGTACCTTGGCACAGCAGGGCTAACAGTTATTGTAGCTCCACTGGAAAAGTCTGGATTTGATCTGCTCACTTCCATAATCCTCTCTAAAAATCTGACTGCCATGCTGCAAATTAGCTGATAGATAGTAAAATATCCCAAGACCTCAGCCCCAATTCTGTGCTTTATGCTGTGAAAGGGGCCCTCACTCACAATCACGAGTGGGAAAGGTATTTACAGGTCACAGGAGGAAGATACAACGTAGGGAGTTTTTGGTTTGGTTGTTTTGTTGGTTTTTTTTTCCCTGATCCTTAATTTAGGTACTTCTCAGCTTTCCTTTGTAAGACCTGCCATTCCAATTCACTGGACACCACCAGAAATCAGGGTTCTCATCTGTTCTCCAACACCACCCACGCACCTAAAGCCTGGGAATGTTTATGGGCGCAGCAGTGCAAGAAAGGAACAAATGTTTCGTGGGTGTGAAGCTGAATTATTTGCAGAAGCTGTGAGTGCTCCACAACTAATCAAGGTTTTCCAGATAAACTACCACGACACAACATGCCACATTAACATTTACCCTGCCAAAGGGCTCGAAGATTCCTCGAAGCATATCTTCAGTTATGTTGAAGTGTAAGGATCCCACATAGAGCCTCATGGGACCAGCACTGCCCTTCTGCAGATTATTTGCCATTGCTGCTGCTCTGTTTTTCTCTGCCTAAGAAAAGGAGAAAATAAAAACTCACCTTCTTGTCAGAATTTCATAAAAACCCCTAACATGAGCAGTATGTATCTATCATATCAAAACCAGGCAGGTTCACCACAAAACCACAAGCTATTGTATAATCTGTAGACTATCCATCAGACTTTAAATGAAAATCTACCAAACCCAAGACCATGACCAAGTACAGAGACACAGATTCCAAAAGCCTTCAAACTGAACAACTTCATGCTTGTATCTAGTAAATTAACAGTTTTTACATATGCTGGAAAATATACACAATATAACCTTTAAAATTTCTTTACTACTACTTGCTTAAAATCTGTACCTTCAAAATGCACTTATATCATTTTGGATTGCTTTAATTTGCCTGTCATCAGGGAAACAAAAGTCTATTTATAATTAAATATTCATCCTTGTTAAGGTTTTCCAAACCAATGGTAACCAAACTTTCAAACATTAAGTTCCCCAGCAAGACACGAGAGGCATAACTCAAACTGAACAAAAATGAGATTTACAACCCCTCACCTGTGATGCCTGTACTATGATGGGCACACCCAGGACTCTCTGTCCAGTCAGTCCTATTGCCAGGGGCACTGAACTAACATCAACAAACTCAACATAAGCGATTCCCTTGGAGCGCCTGGAATTTCTATCTGAAATCATTCGCACGTCACGAACCTGAAAGGCAAGAAGAGACAGAAACACTTCAGAGATAAAGGAAAAAACCTAATGCAGCCTGTTCCTGACAGGTATCAATAATGAGGTGATTATTTACCAAGCCAATGGCTCTGTAATTATGCTGGAAATCTATGGCAGCATACAGCTTTAACAAACATATCCCAGAGGCAAGCGAGCACTAAAGCTGCTGTTCAAAGTCAAATGTAGTGTATGACAAAAGTTTTTCAAAATCAGAAGTTAAATGAATTTTCAAGTTACACTATAACTGCCTGAAAAAGACAGAAAATACGGAAAAATTAAGTTGTTTGAATCAGAATTGAACTGACGTGTTTTGCATCACATCATATGAACAATGAACTCCTGAGAAATTACATTTTCATGTTCATCATCATCCACTCCCCTTTGCACAGGTACAGGAAGCTCCACTTGCTTACAGTTCCCAAAATTATCAATCCTGTACTCAAGTTCTACTAGAACAGCTTGAGTCAGAAGTCAGAATCATTTTAACTTCCCTATTAATTACCTTCCCTACTGTAGAGAAAAATTCTTCCAGGTCTCTTGGTCGGATTCTTGCAGCCAACTGCATGCAGAATACTGTTCGAGCATCCCTCTCTTCAGGGGTAAGATTATCAATGGGTTCTCTGCAAAGAGCAAAGTTCAGTTAAAAAATAAACTGAATTAAGCTAACTCATCTCTGGACTGCATGTCAAACACTAAATAATCAGTACTTCCTGGCCTGCTAGTGAAAAACATGCCTCCTATATTTAAAAAAGGCAGGGTTAAGAAGTGAATACCTAATATTAATATGATAATGTATTTGTTTGTGTAACATGACTGAATACCCTGTTTCAATTGTGAGCATTAAATATCCCTGAAAAATTCTATTTTACCTACAGGAGTCCAAACTAATCAGAGGTGCCATTTTGCTGCTGTCCAGAAATGGTCCCAGGGCCACTGTGGAGCTCCCAGTGAGAGATGAGAGGAGAGGCCTCCAGGGTGAACTGGCACAGACTGGCTGTCCAAACTCTCACACAAGTAGTGCCAACCAGGCCTTGCAAACTCACACCTGGCATCTACCCAGTCACTTCAGAGTCACTGCAGCCACTGCATAAGCAATGCTGACACCCATGCAAATGGAATTCCCAGTCCTCAGAGGTTCAGCTTGTTAACTCATAAAAAAGTTCTTGATACCAGAAGCACTAGAATAATTTTACTTCAATACTCAACCACTACCTGAAATTAGATACACCATTTCTAAGGTGTTGAAGCTTCAAATCTAAAAAATAAAAATCTGACTTGTGGTCGAGTACAGGACAGAATTAGCATGCTGGATCCTGGACTAAGTTTTCAGTCATGGAATATGTATTTATATTAATTATATAGATAGCAATCACTGAGAATACACCAGAAAAACTTACACTGAATTATCTCAGTAAGAGTTTGCTAGTCACTAAAAAACAAAACGAGATTGGTTAAATTTAACTGTATTAATGTAAGAGAATAATCTCATTACCAGCATTAACAATGCTCTCCTCTCCTGGCTGTCTAAATGAATTCCAGCATCACTTTTGAGTGTAAGCTGGAGAGCAAGTAGCCATGCATTGTTTCACTATCACTTTCCCAACTTCACTAGGACACAAAAACCCCAACACATGTAAAAAGTCGTACCTAACAGGGCTCTTGTCTTTTCTGAAGGGACTTTTGCTCCTGGAGCGACGTCTGCTAAAAAGAAACAAGATTAGAAGAAAACCTTCAAATACACCACTCTGATTTTAAACAAAACCTATTAATGATGTAATAAAAAGTAGAGAGAAGTCAGAAACCTTAATTTGATGCTGTGAGGCAGACCAATCTTCCCTCTGATGGCACTGTTGAATTTTGGACCGGAACTAGGGCAAAAGAAAAGACAGACATTACTCACCTGAGTACCAAAATTCAGGATTTCCTCTCTGTACTCACATTTTTTACACTCCAAGTGCTCACCCACCCTTGCCCCTGAACTGGGCAGCATTTCCATCAGCAGCACCCAATGCATGCATAATGTTATCAACAGGTCATCAACACATGCAGCCTCCAGACCACCAGGCAGGGAATATGCTCCCCTCTGTTCCACCTACATCACAAAACCCCGGAATATCAGGATTCCAAGAACCGAACTACGGGCCAGCCAGCCAGGGCACATTTGTATGTGCTAACCATTCTGAGCTGCAGTCACAGCTGTAACCATTTTCACCTGGTTTTGTAGCCACATGCAAGTTCTGTGTACTGATGACTGCAAAGCAGGACCTTCATGGCCCGGAGCTCAGCCCCAGAGCTGTGGGCAAAGTGGTGCTGGCAGAATTATTCGCTCAAGTGTAACGTTTTAAAATCCAAAGTTTCACGAAATTTAGGTGCAAGAAGAAACCAAAGCAGCTCCCTGCAGAAATCTGTAAGTGACACACTCACTGATGTTGTCCCAGCTCTCGCCACTGAAGTGCTACAAATATGCAAATGAAGCTTCCTAAAGTTCTTAATGGCCACCAAAGCACAGAGGCAGTGAACCCAGCAGGTACCCTATATATAGACATGTAACCACAGGAGGAATCCAACCTCTTGGCTGAACCTAATTTTAGTTCTCCAGGCTGCACAGAGTCTGTCAGAACTGTAACCTGCCCTTTCCTTCCAGGTTAAGGACAGTCCTTGCTAGTTAAGGTGGCCCATGGGGACAGACAGCCTGTGACACGAGCAGGAAGGCTCATCCTATCGTGTTGTCCCTGAACTTGATCTCCTGGTAGATACAAGGCAAAGAACAACACCTGTTAACATTCTTCCTGTATCTCCAGCGAGCAGAGGCACTGCTGCACAGCCTGAGTGCCATGCACTGGGGCTCTGGCTTTCCAGCTGCACACAACTGATTCTTTCTGCTGCAGCTACCAATTGATGTGACACACCCTGAAAGACACGGCGGGCTGAAGACATTAAGCAGTCTGCCACTAAATCCATTGGGCCAGGCAATTTGTCTGAAAAACGTCTTCTGGCTCCTCAGTGGAGCAGTAATGTTTAAACTCAGCATCCACCACAAGGAGCAGGATGCCCATTTTTAAACGTGTCATGACACAGGTGGAAGCAGTGGGCCAAGATCCAAAACCGTGCTGGCCAGGGTAAAGCAAGGGAAATATGGCCCTGCACAACACTGGAAAAAAAAAATAAAGAAAAAAAAGACCATTTAGAAACTGCTTGTTAAGAACAGATAACTTCTTATTAAGAGAAATTAAGACATAAAACACAGGTACATGTTGAGATGAGATTGCTATTGATCAAACCCAGACTTTTATTGCTTAGGATAAATTACTCTAATTTTCTACTCAAGTCCAGACAAATGACTGCTGGGAACATCCATTCAGGTTCTCCAGTGTCTGTGAAGCTGCTCAAAGCTGCACCTGGAAATGCTGGTATTGATTCCAGAGGCCAGCTTCTTACTTAACATGGGACTACCCTGCACCTTCACACCTCCCAGTACAGAATATGGTGTTTTCCAGTTCAGTTTGAATGCAGCCAGACACAACAATTACAGAACTCCAGAAAACTAATATGCACAGCAACTAAACAACAGTAAATAATTATGAGTTTTTATGGAAATAGTGAGAGAAATGTTTTAAGTGTGTGTCTAAATCTAATGAAAAGAACCCCCAAAACACAAACAACTGGTAAGTAACACTGTAAGAGTTTTCAAATACATGCACAGCTTCTGAGGGGGGAGGGAGAGAAGAGGAAAAAAAGGGGGGGAAAACACACAGCCCACAGCTCCAAGATCTCTTTTCCATTTTCACTCCTGACTAGCAGATTCTTATTTACAGGACTCCATGAAACACTGACAAACCCCAGTGACCTAAAGCCATCCCAGACCACTGAACAGACTGAGCAGAAAAGCTGCCTGGGGCAAGGTGACAGCCCGAGTTACCTTCTCAAGATCCCTCCCCAGCAGGATTCTGCAGGAGCCCTGCTTGTAAAGCTGCAGATCTCAGGGAAAGCCCCTATGGCTGCTGCCCAGCTCCTGCTATCCCCCAGGGCAGTGCCCTGTCACAAGCAATCAATCTTTATGTCAAGGAGTCCCCTTGTCCACAGGGACATGCCTTTCCAAACCTGGGCGATGCCACCCAGCCCAACAACAGTCAGGTCACAAGACACCAGCAAATTATCAGCTCTTACCTGCTCATTCTTATTCAAGACTCCAACAAAACAGTGTTGGACAAGGTAAACTTTGGCCAACAAAATCCAGGGGTATCATGATGAACGTTCAGTGCTCATGTAATAAATCTGTTTTCCCAACAGCTTTGTCCAAATGCTTGGTTTCAGAATAGAAACAGGATGGTCTAAGTGACTTCTACTGTACATTAGCAGTGTCTGGGATTTGCCAGACAAATGTCTAAGTAAGAATTCCCAGTCAAGTTCTTTCTACTAAAAGACCTAATAATGTAGCTGTAAAACACTTACAGAACAACATGTGAGAATAACATTAGAAAAAAACCCTGTCAACATTAGGCAATGCAAGCCAGTCACCCCATTTTAAAAGATTGCAGCACTTAACCACTTTCTGAAGCTTAAGTGACAAATTCCAAGGTTTCAGGTTCTCTGTGGCACTTTCTTCTCCTTTCCTAAAGAATTACCTATACTAGGTTAATTTTCACTGTTGCTGAGATGCCTTTTAACTGGCCCAGCAGCAAAACCATCTCAGTTTACAGGTATCAACTTGAAAAGGAGCTTTTATAAAGCAAATGAGAAAGATCCAAGGAGGAGGAAGAGTAACAAATAAGATAAAATATAAACCATAAAGCATTTTACTCTAGGTGCTGCAGTCAGCTACAATGTTGTCAGCAGTAACCCCATCCCAGAACTGTCTGGACAGTCCCACAAGGAGGGATCCCAGATGCAAATACCTCACCCAGCAAGAGTTACTGGTAGTTACTCTTGAAATGCTGAGCTGATGGCACTGATACAGAGACAATTTCTTCAAATGAAAGCCCCAGTTCTGATAGATCCGAAGTTATCTGATCCAAAGGCAGCCAGTGGTGCAGGAGGCTTCATCTCCAAAACTCCTGTCTCCCTGAAAGTCAGTGCCTGTTATACAGATTTAAAGGTGGGTCTCTGCATTTGATGAGTACCAAACAGGAAATTAGGAGCTCTCAACTCTGGTATCTTCTGAGGCCCTTCTCTTTAACACCTTCTGAGACACAACTAGAACCATCTCAGCTTCTTGTTCACTGTATTTCCAGAGAAATCACCCAGAACAGCTACGGAAAAGTGTCAGAAGAGGGGAAAAAGACCCCTCACAATCATTTACCTTTCTGGCATAACATATCTCGACGCACTAAAACAGGCAGTGGTGGTTGTACTTTTAACCTCTACTTGAGGAAATTATTTTGGAAGACCAGAACACTGGAGCTCCCAAATTTCTCTAGCTGAAGAACCTTTTCACCCAGTGACAACAAAACCTCAAAGAACAAAACTCTCCAACGCAGTTGGGAAAATGCAGCAAGTCCCAACTCTGTGAAGAGATGAAGGACATCCTCTCCCTGCTCCACCACACCAGGGGGGGGGAATGTCAGGCTCCACACACGGAAGGCTCAAGTCTTGGATCAAGGTCCTCTGTGTCTTGAGCCACAATGGCACTGGCACAACCCAAGGAGCTACTGTAACCTTAGAGGTGCCAAAGAGCTGTAGGAAAACAAGCCAACTGTGCAGTGCTGAAATCATCAGAGCAGAGAACAGAGGCTGTGCCAGGCCGGGCACTGAAGTCAAAGCGGGGATGACGAGCTCTGTGAGCCCCACGTGCACAGGATGCCCCTGCTCCTCAGCAGAGCCAGGGGCTGCACCAAGTTCTCGTTATCAGAATGCCCACATCCAGGTGACTTAGCACCAGCTGAGACCCTGAGACCTCAGGCAGTTCTGTTTGCATTCCAAGAGTACGAAAGAGAACGTGTTCCCTGGATTGGGACCCAGCCAAGAAAATCATTCATGTGCTAAAACTGCACAAGCCTGTAATTTATCAGAAGGTAAACACTGTCTGCTCAAACATCTTGAGAGATTTCTCCATCATGCATGACATTACATGTCACGATTTATAAAATACATCCTTTCCAATTGCCTGTTTTTTTTTTTTTTATTGCATTCCCAGACTTGGTAACAGCTGAGATGAGGCCTGGACAACAGCACACACAGGGAGCAGTCTCAGGTTAGTAAGGACAGTCAATCACACAGACCAGTTCCCACTGGTTTTCTGCAAAGAGGCAATAGGGAGTAAAGGGGAGAGTAGGAATACAAACCATCAGAAACAAATACTGATGAAAAAAAAGGTCTTTTGAGAATTGATTTACAACTGCCAGGAACTACTTATAGCAGAGGTTCTGTCCATCTAAATATCCGAGAGGATCGAAAGAGTTCTTTCACAGCCTCTAGACAAGTCTGACAAAAAGTAGGGCAACTATAATGCATGGACATTCCTAAGACAAGATGCTTCCAGTTTGGATGCATAAACATGGGATGTTTTTAAGGTATATGCATTTATGGAGTTAAGTGTTTAAGAGCAGCAAGACCATAAAAATCTTCAGTAATACAAAAACAAGAGTTTATGAGTTTGTAACCAAAGCCATAGACTACCGTTCATTTTTCGACAGCTAAGCTGTCAAGTTTTAAACTGAAGACAGTTTGGACAAGCAGGAAATTTGCTTGTTACTTTGACTGTGTAATGAACTCTGTTTGCCAGTCAGCTGTACACATTCTTTCACTGCTTTTATGTCTTTTATTTTGGCTAAGAACGAAAACCAGCAGGAAAGGGGGATATGTTACTGTCCTCCTCTTTTCCACGCTGTATTTACTGACAATCTTCAAACCTAACCTCTCACTTTCTGAGGTAACTAGTGACCCATTTAGAAAGCAGAGGGTGAAACCTGCAGCTTCCCCATCACCCCATGAAGCAGCACGTGCACCTCAGCACCAATAACCTACTAGGGGCTCCTGTAGCGGCCTCTGAATCTGCGATCTCTGCTCCTGGAGCGGCTGCGTCTGCGCTCTTTGCTTCTGCTCCGTTTCCTTTCCCGGCTCCTGCTCTTCTTCCGCTCCCGGTCCCGGCTCCGTTTGCGTTCCTTGCTCCTGCTTCTCTTTCTGTCATGGCTTCGACTTCGGCTCTTGCTCTTTTTTCTCCTGAGAAAAAACCCACAACTTTGGTTACGCCCCAGCTCAGTGTTATCTGCCCCAAATCCCACAGTTCCCCCAACCTGATGTCAAAGACATCGACAGGAAAAGTTTCCACCTGTTAGTATTTACATGTTATTTTTGTTAAATGGGTGGTTAAGCATGTCAGCAGTCTTGTAACACTCTAAAATCTACAACAGCACATCTTTGGTTTAAATTTCATAATTGCCAGAGAACGCTTCCAGAAGAGTAAAAGGACTTAAAAAACCCCTTCCTGTGTTAGATCTGGTACATACCAGCTGCAGTGCTTCTTGTGGCTTTCAACCACACTTTAAACACAGTATCAAGATTCTAAGATTAAATTATACTTTTACAGCAAAGTAAAACAAAACAACCAAACTAGGAAGACTCAATCTGAGGGAAAGGAAGGGTGGTTAATACTCCCTCTACCATCACTCAACACGCTGTTGAAGAGTTTTCCTTCCCTACTTGCTACTCCTGTTCATAAGCCACTTGCTTTTTTAAGTCTATGCTTGTCACAGGTTTGGGGTGAACTGCAGATTTTCGTAACTTAAACCATTTACTTAGAAAATTTAATCTCTTAAGATCAGTAAGTCAATTATACCTCATATCTGAAAACCAGTGAGCAACTGTTCCATTCTTGGCATTTGCATTATTTGTGAATTCTTTTCCTCTGTCTCAGCCTCAGACCATCAAAGCTTACAGTCCCCTAATTTTTAAAATATATACCTATGTACACATAAACACACGGTAAACAGATGCTCAAGCCATTACTAAAGACAGCAAAATAATCAATTTTGCTGCTAAACTTTTGAATTTGAATTGTCCTTTATTCCTGAATTTTTCCTCTTCCTCCTTTCAGGCCTTCTCATCACATACACCACCTTTTTTCAAAGCGGTCGCTCACACACCTAAAAACCTTTTAAAAGGGGCATGTGGATTACAAAAAGTTCATCATTGTTATTTTTTATGGCCATGAACAAACTGAGACTTGTTAGTTTCCATTTCTAAAGTAAGAAGTCTTTCACCTGCCACATCTAACTAAGCCTAATCATCACTAGCTGCTTTTGCTCTCCAATCTCCACCTAGAAAGACCCATTAAACCTATCTCAGCATTTGTCTTTGGAGACAAGCATTTTGTGATTAGGTTTTAAACACTGGAATATTTCAGGGTTTTTCCATCAGTTTCTCTAATACTTTAGTGTGGACAGAGAAGCTGCTGCATCAAAGCCTGATATCAGAAGTCTCACAATCTCTGAGAGTTCTGTATTTCTGGGTGGTGTCATCAGTGTCACTGACCCACCTTTCCTGCTGCAATGCAGTTTGGGATGGTCAGGCAGTGTCCCTCCTCTCCAGGACCCATCACTTACCAACATTTCCCCAAGTTAACCCTAAAACACCATCACAACAGCTCTGAAAAATCCCAATCCTGGTTGTAGCTCACTTTCCTGGCCAGCACCAGTAAGTGGTAAGTGCAGCCATTCCCTATTAGATGGGGGCAAAGACTCCCAACATTCCCGAGCCAACCTGTGCCTCCGCACCAGGACTGAACTGGACACACATCCAGGAAGAATGCAGATTATTCATCCTTCCCATTACTAACACAGACATTTAATATCATTTGACAATTACAGAAAGCTGCAGTTATTTTTTTAACTTGTTGATTTTTGCTGTGGATTTTCTTGACAGTGTGAATCTTATTTCAGTATTTGCCCAACTGAAGCAGATAAAGAATATCATCTGGATATAATTTAATTGATTTAAAGCATAGCAAGAAGTCTTGTAAAGCCTAAATACACCTTTGTCTTAAGCAACAGAGGACACTGTCACAAGTCACAAACAAAAGAGCACAGTTCATTCTTTAAAGATTACAAGGAACAGCAGCTCCATCAAAATGAATTCCCAGGGCTTAAAAATATTGGGAACAGCTGCTTTTGGTGGGGGGTTTAGAGGTCTTAGGATTTAGCATGGGAAGGATGTTCACAGTATTGTTTAGAAAACAGATATAAGGTATAATCACTTTTAGATTAGTTGATTACAACTAAAGCCTGACCTTGGAACTGGACTTACAATTCCCCAAATATTCATACGCCTGGGATAAAACTTTCTTTGGACCCCTTGAGCATGTTGTCTGTGTGATTTCAGGTGACAGCAGCACACACGCTGACTTGTTAAGATAGTTGTGTATTACCGTCCTAGTTAGAGCAGCCAGGACCAGTTCATCTGTGTGGGTGTAACCCAAACTGTGTATTCTACACCCTCTGTGTCATTTCCCAGAAACAAACATGCACTGGTTTCTGTTTAGTCAATTATCAATTTAAAAATTAGTCTTTTTACATCAATTACCTCACCACCAAATGATGCTTGTAAGGTACAGAATTTATTTCACAGACTTAAAAACCTTCCATTTATTTGGGGTATTTAAGAGACTCCCACGTAAGGCATTTTTCTTCCAATTTCTGGTTTCATTCCAGACCACTTGGGGCTTGCTGAAGAAGGTGGGCTTCTACTCTTTGTTTTTCAAAAAGGTTTTCAAAGGAGGGTTATGTAGAGAATAGAGGAAGGGGATTCAATACCCTGAACCTCTTCAAGAAAGCACTGGTATCTTTAAATGCTTTGCACTGCTCCAAATCACATTCCACAACAAATTCTACACCAAACACATTTTTAAAATGCAAAATCCATTGCACAGCTAAAGTAACCAAAAAAATTTAAATATGCTGAACATACCAAGTCTGTATTTCTATCTGATGCTAATTAAATGTTTCCACAACTTGGATGACATCAGTTGCAAGGCTATTAACCACATTTGTAAATAAAAGAAGACTTCCTAATTGCTGCAACTGCAAATACCAAGCTTTGCTATTTTATCTCCCTAAATACTGCTGACACGCATTCCCAGGTTCACAAAACTCAGCAGGCTCTCCCCAAAAGTACAGAACTGAGACAACACTCACTTCTTGCTGCGCTCTTCGTGGCCATTGGCACTGCTCAATTTGTTCTCATCCTAAGCAGGGTTGATAGAAGAACATCGTGAGGACGAAGTGGAAACATTTCAAGTGGTCAAAGGGTAATGGGAATAGGAATAAGAAAATAAAAAACAAAAATTTTAATACTAAATTACTTGCTTACAGTTTAATGTGGAAAACTTTAGAATATTTAGGTAGGCATGTTTAACCACTTTGCTGCTTAAATTTAAGTCATACAATTACAAAATACAAGACTTACATCATTTAAAAGCGTGTATTAAATTGTAGATACTTCCTTACATGGTTTAGAGAGCAAGTTATCCTGTAGCATTCAGCACTCAAGTGGTTAAATGTTATTTCTCTAAAATGTAAGAGGCAGTTTGAGGTGTGTGTTTGTGTGCCCCTCTGCTCAGTCCCAAGGCTATATCTCTGCCTAAGCCCCGGGGCTGTGCTAGCAGCCAGCCACTATGGATTTCCTAGGGATTTCCTGTGACCGATGCCATTCCCGAGATCTTCGCTCATTTTCGTTGAAGGGTTGTAAGAGCTTGATGTCACCTCTGTCACACATCTCGCCCTGAAGCAAACAGGGATTCACACTGCTTTAGTAACGTCGACTCCCAAGAAAGTCAGCAATAATCCACCAGTCCAGCCTAAACATTCCCTATTTCCATACCTGTTTACATGGAAAATATCCATGTTAAGCCAGGACACAAGAATTTTAACATAATAGTTTACAACTTTTTCTTCAAGATGTAAATGTAACTGCTAAATATTACATAAACTAAATATACATTTAAAACTTACGAATGCTCATCCAAAATTCATTACATGGTTGTAATAAACACTGAAAAATAGACTAACAATAGCTGCTATATAATTTATATACTGGCTTTACAGTTTAATCACATTGGTTACATCAAAAGTACAATTCCTAGGCGACTTAAAATTAATATACATTTCTTTCAAAACCAGTGCTAAAGCATGCAGACTGTTCATACTTCACCACCATTTGGTGGAAAACAAAAAAAGACAGTATTCATTTGCTGCTGGTTTAAGTAAAAGACATCACTATGCTAATTGATGAAAATTTCACATAAAAATCGACATTTCCTAATTAAACAACTAGGACAGAAGAACACGAGAGCTCATTTTAGAATGACACCGCAGACTGTGATACTGTCTTTTACTTGCTAAGAACATTCTACTCAGGGATCCAAGAATTTCCGTAAATTCGTTCACTCAGCAATTGATTTTCATCTGCCCTGTTGAAAGATTAACCGCCAGCAGCCTTCTGCATTAAAGCAAGTCCCACTCTTCTTGCACTGAGCAGACTGTTCAAATATTTACTTGCCATGGGACTGGTGAAAAGGTTATTCTTGGAACCCTGCTGTTTTCCCAAATCACTGCATTCACCTTGTTGCTATACCAAACTAGACCTGGCCATTTTAGAGGAGAGGTTTTAGGATTCTTAGTTTTGGGGGTTGGGTTTTTTGTTTGTTTGTTTTGGTTCGTTTTGGTTTTCTTTGGTTGGTTTTTGGGTGGGGTTTTTTTTGTTTTGGTTGTATTTTTTTTTTTACCTAGGGGACCACGGTACAGCGATACGTCACTCAATTACTACCTTATGATTGACAGTTCACACTGGAATCAAAGGTGAATTCATGGGAGTAGAGGTGAGATATCGTTAGGCAAGTCTACAAAGAGAGATAGATGGGCATTTATTCATCACGCTGAAGTGAAACTACTGCACAATATAATTACATTAACAGTATATATTAACTTGAAAGTTACATGTAATGCATGTCCAATAAGATAAATCATGAGGGCTCCAGGGATGTTAGTTTACAGTTCAGCAGTAGTTTCATGAATAATGCTAAATTAAGGTAAACAGGACTTCATGGCACATTTTTCTCACCTTCTTGTAAGGAGCTTCAAGCATTGCCTCAATATCAATATCATCAGCCATTTTTCAGGACACCTGGAAGAAGAAGGAAAATCCACCTGAGTTGGAAAACACCATTGTGCTTAATATTCCAAAAGCTTTTGTTCAAGAGGCCATCCCTGCATGGGCTTCAATTCAGCGAGCAGTGCCTCGGTGGGTATTTTCAAGGAGAACTGGAATGCAGCTTTGCCCAGTGAGATGATAAAGAATCTGCACAAAGCAATTACAGCTGCGAACAACAAAATGTGCTTGAACCCCATGAGCCAGCAGAACCCCCACGAGGGATCCCCCCAACTCCTTCACAGCAAGGAGCACCCACACGGGGCTGGGGCCACCTTGAGAAGTGCTGGAGCTTGACCCAGGGACACAAAGCACTCGGGCAAACCTGCTCCCAGCCTCCCAGCCCTGGCCACTGTCACACCGAGGCCCTCGGAGCAACGTAAGAGGGGCACAGGAGAACATTCCTGATCCCAGCACTGGGAGCTACCAAAGCACACACAAGGCCCAGCCCAGCTAGAACTTCAAGTCTGAGACAAGACAGGTCCACCACAGCAGGTGACACCAGTCACCACAAACTCTTTGCATTCACCTGTTCCTCTTATTTTTCAACTTCAACCCTTAGGATAATTTTATGTTCACTGTACTCTGAATCTCTCTGACACTTGATTTCCTCTCCCTATTCAAGTCTGCTATTAAAAACCTCAAGACTCCTGGCATTACAGACACTCAACTTCCTCAAATCTCTTAAGATAAGCTTCTCTTCTTTTTCTCTCCTAAACTCAGTAACAGCCAGTCCTCTCCATCCCGGTCAGACAGCCCAACAGTGAGGATTTCCCTGCACGTGCACAATGAAATGGATTTTTGAACATAATTCTGGAACCTTGTTTCCAGACACTGCTGCAGGAACTGCACTGTCCTGAGACTTGGGCAGAGTACTGAAACTGCTCCAACACTTCAGGATCCCCTAAAATGGTCACTTATAACCCTATAACCGAGAATGCTTTCCCAGAGCTGCAGCACATCCCACCACGGCCCAGGAATACCATCCAATATAAAACTCAATCCTTAAGCAGTATCACAGCACTGGAAGTTCACACTCAATTACTTAACAGAGGCACACTGACCTCATTTGCAAGTTATTACCTGTTGGGACACAGGGCCATCACTTACAGGTATCATCACCTTCATTAGCTCAGCTCCTCAGAGCAGGGTGCCAATAACACCCACGTTGTGGGTTTGACCCCCTATGGGCCATCCACTCAAGAGCTGGACTCGATGCTCTTTGTGGGTCCCTTCCAGCTCAGAATATTCTGTGATTCGTTTACGTGTAATGGCTCAATTTTACTTTTTACCGGAGTATTTACACTCAGCTTTTCAAGACAACTCCGTACAGGCACGTGACTTAATTCACTGCCCTTCTGCCAGCACGGGGGATGAGTAAGTACATCGGTGTGACTAAGGGCCATGAAAAAGCTCCAGGCCAAACCCAACTCTACAAAAGAATTCCCACCGGTGACTACTCCCACCCACAATCACATTTTCAGATGTGTAATTTAGGCAACACACGCAGCTGCACTTGGGGTTCTTTCACCCCGCAGAGGGTCGGCTGCAACACGGACCATCAGACCCTGAGCGGGGTGGAAAAGCGCAGATTCCCCCAAACAACGAGGGATGAACTATCATCCGGTGAGTTCAAAACAAAGGTCATCATTCACAAAGCATTTAGCCATTGAATTCACTGTCAGCGAGCACTGTGGATCCTAACAAAGGGGGGGGAAAAAAAGCACAGGCAGTGCTCAAAATAACCCCAACAAAGAAAAAAAAGGACGAAAGTTTACAGAAAAAGCTTTTCATAAACAAAGAAGCGCCTCGTGACCCTGAGCCACAACGAGCTGACAACTAAGCACACAGAGAGAAGTGTCGCTGTGTGCCACTGCCCTGTTCTTTGGCACTGACTTCTGGCCACCACCACGGAATATCTCCTGAGCTGCACTTCGGCCTCGCACCGGCAATCCGTGCCCTTTGTACTCGGCACCAAACACTTCCAACCGGGATAATGCCGTGTTATCATCAGCGTACCTTCTGTCCACAAAACACAGCCCTGCTATCAACCCCGCAATGCATGAAATTCCTCTAATGATGCTACGCGTAAACTTGATATCCTTTAAAAAAAAAACAAAAAAACGCGGATAAGAGCCCCTATTAATTTCAACGGAGTAGAAAATCATGACAAGTATCTTTCACCGAACGCCGAAGCTCAAAAATTATTCTCCTAAAAACCCCTTTTCGGCTTCCTAATAATAAAAAAAAAAAAAAAAAAAAAAAAAAAAAAAAAAAAAAAAAAAAAAAAAAAAAAAAAAAAAAAACAGAGGGTCTAGCATTTCCGTAGAGGGGAAAAAAAAACCACAAGTAAAAAAATAACGACAAAAAACCGGTCCGAAAAAACCACCAAGAGGATAACCGGGCGGCACCACCAGGCCGCGGCGCGGGGGGCCCCGCGGGCGCTGCGGGCCCGGCGGGCGCGGGGCCGGCCCCGCGCCCGCCGGGGCCCGCAGCGTCCGCGGGACCCCCGCGCCGCGGCGTCGGCCCTCACTTACCTGCGCCGCGGGCGGTGCGATCCTCGCTCAGGCCTCCCGGGTCCGGCAGCGGCGACTCCGGCGTCACTGCGCTGGTAGCGGGGTGTGTGTGGGGGAGGGGGAAGGTGGGCCCGAGGGCTCAGGCGCCCTCTCCAGGCGTCTGAACCCGCGACGGGCGGCCCGGCGGCGCTGTGGGGGGCGTCGCTGTGGGGGGCGGTGGGGCCTGCTGGGTGGCGGTGCCGGTGGCGGTGCCGGGGGAAAAGGCCCCGGCTGCGGCTGCTCCCGAAATGGCGGCCGGCCCCTCTCGCGGCTCCGCTCGGCACGGGGGTGCCCCGGCGCCGCGCGCAGGGGCTCTCGCGAGAACGCCGCGGGCCGCGCGCGCGCGCACGCACGCGAGGCCTCTCCCTCCGCGGAGGATCCCGCGAGAGTTCGTGAGGGAGGGCACGGCCCAGGGTGGGGCTGAGGGGGACTTGGGACAGGCAGACCCGGGATAGACAGACTGGAATAGGCAGACACGGGATAGACAGACAGACAGGGGATAGACAGCCAGACAGACCCGGGATAGACAGATACGGGATAGACAGACAGACCCGGGATAGACAGACAGATCTGGGATAGACAGACAGACACCCGGGATAGACAGACCCAGGATAGACAGATACGGGATAGACAGACAGACCCGGGATAGACAGACAGATCTGGGATAGACAGACAGACACCCGGGATAGACAGACCCAGGATAGACAGACAGACCCGGGATAGACAGACTGGAATAGACAGGCAGACACGGGATAGACAGAGTGGAATAGACAGGCAGACACGGGATAGACAGACACGAGATAGACAGACACGGGATAGACAGACCTGGGATAGACAGACAGACCCGGGATAGACAGACAGACACGGGACAGACAGACAGACCCGGGATAGACAGACAGACCCGGGATAGACAGACAGATCTGGATAGACAGACAGACGTGGCATAGACAGACACAGGATAGACAGACAGACCCGGGATAGACGGACAGACCCGGGATAGACAGACAGACCCGGGATAGAAGACAGACACCCGGGATAGACAGACCTGGGATAGACAGACAGACCTGGATAGACAGACAGACACGGGATAGACAGACAGACACAGGATAGACAGATACGGGATAGACAGCCAGACAGACCCAGGATAGACAGATACGGGATAGACAGACAGACCCGGGATAGACAGACAGATCTGGGATAGACAAACCTGGGATAGACAGTCAGACACAGGACAGACAGACCCGGGATAGACAGACAGACCCGGGATAGACAGACAGACCCGGGATAGACAGACATGGGATAGACAGACAGCCCCAGGACGGCCAGGCCTGGAACACACAGATCCAGGACAGACAGACCAGGGACACACAGACCCGGGACAGACAGACCCAGGACAGCACCGGGACACACAGACACAGGACAAACCCAGGACAGACAGCCCCGGGACACACAGACAGGACAGACTCGGGACACACAGACAGCCCTGGGGCAGCCCATGGCCAGGACACGGCGTTGTCCCCTCCCCGGCTCTGCAGGGGCCATGTCCGGGGCTCCAGCCCAGCCCGGGCCCTGCCCCGGCTCTCCGGAGCTGCTGCAGGTCACCGGAGCCTTGAATGGGAACATTTAACTGCGGAAATCACGGTCTGTGAAACAAACCCCGCTCATCTTGCTGACTGCGCTTTGTTTCCCTCGGAGCCCCCAGAGTTTAAAACAACACGCAGTACGTTTTGGGCAGTTGTTCAAGGTAGTGCAGATAACATTAAGTGAGTTTCCTGCTGGAGGCAGCACGAGAGAAGCAATTGTTGCTGGGAGGTTGTAGCGTATTTCTTTTTTTGTCCTACAATTCGGAAACAAAAGAAAAGTTCTAAACAAAGTTTGCCTCCTGAAAACATAATTTCTGTGAAAATCCTGGTCTACTGTGTCATTTAATGTCATTTCTAGCAAAGTTCCTGAAATGTTAATAGTACTAAATGGTCCTGGAGCCCAGAGTATCCAAGTCTTTCTAAGCTGAAGTGCTTAACTAACAGATTTTGGAACATTTAGGAAAAGCGACGTGTTTAAAAATTAAAAACAAAGAATGACTCTAGTAGGGTTTGGGGTTTTTTCCCAACCTGATCGTTTTTGCGGAGGTTGGTTGTAAACAGACTTAGCAGCCATCCCACAGGCCAAAGGAGGTTTGCTGTGGCCTCGCCCTCCCCCCGGTGCTCGCAGTCAGCGCCGGGGCCGCTCTGACAGCTCCGCGTCCTTGTTCCTCACCCCTGACTGCCATTTGTGCTCAGGCTCACGGGGGGGCATTTCCCCGAGGCTTCTGTCCCCCCTCCATTCGCCTGTGGAGCCCGGCTCTGGCAGGAGGGCACAGGCTGTTGGTGGACACAGCCGAGGGGCAGCTCCCGCTCACACGTTTCCTGTCCGTGGGATGGCTCGGGCCGGAGGGGCGGCCGGCGCTGCGGGACAAGGCGGGCCATGGCTGGGTCTGCGCAGCCCCGGTGCGGCGGGAGCTGTTCCGTGTACCCCGCTCTGCGAGGGGGGGAGGGAAAGTTAACAACCAAAAAAAAATGGAACAAGGTGAAGCGGAGAAAAAGATGAAGCTTTCCCACACCGGGAGTCGAACCCGGGCCGCCTGGGTGAAAACCAGGAATCCTAACCGCTAGACCATGTGGGACTGCCTGTCACCATCGCGGCGCTGCGGCGCCTGCTGCCTGCGCTGATTGCCTGTACTGCTTGTGCTGCCTGCTGCTTTCGCCGCCTGCCTGTACTGCCTGCTGCCTGTTCTGCCTGCACTGCCTGCCTGTACTGCCTGCACTGCCTGCCTGTACTGCCTGCTGCCTGCGCTGCTTGCCTGTACTGCTTGTGCTGCCTGCTGCCTTCGCCGCCTGCCTGTACTGCCTACTGCCTGCACTGCCTGCCTGTACTGCCTGCCTGCATGGCCTGCTGCCTATACTGCCTGCCCGTACTGCCTGCTGCCTGCACTGCCTGCCTGCTGCCTATACTGCCTGCTGCCTGTGCTGCCTGCACTGCCTGATGCCTGTGCCACCTGCCTGTACTGCCTGCTGCCTGCATCACGTGCCTGCACCGCTTGCTGCCTGCACAGACTGCTGCCTGCACTGCCTGCATTGCCTGCTGCCTCACTGCCTGCCTGTACTGCTGCCTGCCTGCACCTCCTGCCCGTGCCTTCACTACCTGCTCACCACCACTCGGTGCCTGCACCATGGGCTGAGAGCAGGAGGTGGGGTGGGGGTACAGGGAGCAGGGGGTGTGCAGGGGGGGTGCAGGGAGGTGCAGGGAGCGGGGGGGGGTGCAGGGAGCAGGGGGTGCAGGGAGCAGGGTGGGGGTGCAGGGGGGTGCAGGGAGCAGGGTGGGGCAGGGGTGCAGGGAGCAGGGTGGGGTGCAGGGAGCAGGCAGGGGTGTGCAGGGGGTTGCAGGGAGGTGCAGGGAGCGGGGTGGGGGTGCAGGCAGTGGGCTGGGGGTGCAGGGCCACTCGCTTTTGCAGTTCAAAGACAGGGCTGGAGGTTGACAAAACCAGCAAGCAGGAAATTCCTAAGGGGACGATGAAGAAATGAAGTCCAGCCTGAAAAGGCACAGAAAGTGAGTAAGAGCCACCAGTGTGCTCCTGTGCAAATTGGAACCCTCACAAAAGCAGGCACAACAACTGCACTGCCCGGTTTTGACTGGGTACAACCTTATCACACCCTGGTACAAGGCAAGGGACGGGTGGGACAGAGCCAAGGCCGGCTGCAGGGAGAAATGACTGCTGTGTGTGTGGAGGAGTGATGCTGGATGCTGAGGAAACCTTGGAGTCAGTGTGCCTAAACCATTTTAATCTTCCAACATGTAGCACTGAACCCCTGTAGGTAGAAGAATCACACCTAACTAGGCAAAGGGGAGAATTAGGACTATTGAGGTGAACAGGCTTTAAAAACAGGGGTGGTGACAGTGATATATTTAGGAGATCAGAGTGGCTGCCAAGGCAGAAAACATCATCATTGTGAAAAGTCTCCAATTACCCCCATATTGAGTGAGTAAATGTCACATCAGCATATCGTGCCGTTGCTACATTTGAGATACCACAAAGGCTTGATTTTTGGAGCAGCTGGTTGGAGAACATAAAAGAAGCAACTGGGTTTAGTGCTGAGTTGTGTGAGGGGCTTCATTCAGATCTGTGCTATTAGAACAGCCATGTGTAACAGGGAGTATAATGTGTTCTATCTGGTGTCATTGAAAGAGCAATGGCAACAAAGACATTCCTCCCCCAAGAGATTATTTAAAAATGAATAAACCAAAAGGATAACATGGTTGTAAGAAGCATGGAGATTCTAAAATGGCTCAGAACAGTTTGTATCACCAGGAGGAAAAAGCTATGGCTACAAAGCACTCTAAAGAGGGCTGTTGAAATGTTAAATTAAAAATAAAATACCCTTCAAAATGTGAAGCTGGTGTAGACCATGTCCATATACCAGCAAAGAAAATCCTGAATATGTTCCAAGGTATCCAATGGATCTGATGGTAACTACACAAGGTAGATGTGAGCAGATTCTGTTCCCTCCCATGGATCCCAAGTGCAGCCCCCTGGCCTGCATGAAGTTGCAAAGGACATGGGGAGGGACTGGCTGACAGACCCTGCTTCTTTGCCAGGTGATCGTAGTCCACCTCTGTGACATAAGGGCAAATTTGCTCCCCAAGGACTGGACCCCACTGGTAGTGAGATCTGAGCTTCTCCCACGGATCAATCTCCCTGTCCCCAGCTTCTTTTCTAGTTTAGTGCTGGGCAATGCTTCTCCTTCCAGAAGCCCTGGTGAGATCAATAGGAGCAGCACTGCCAGCACCTACACCCCTCCACTTCTGCCCAGGAATTGCCTGTAAGGGAAGGGGGAAGGTCTCCTTTGTCAACCACTCCTGGAGATCAGGACCTGGGGGAGGCAGAACTTTGGCTTCATGCAAACTGGCCATGCTCATGCCGTTACCGCACGGCAGGGCTCACCTTGGCCTCGTGCAGCTGTGCTGTTGTGGGGGGGGTTTGCATCAGGTGTAATCCCACGTGTTTCCTCTCTGCTGTGCCGGCAGCTGCTCGCAGTGAGCGGCCCGGGAGCTGCACGGACAGAGATGCGCGTGGTTCAGGCAGTCAGCACCCAGCCCGAGCGCACAGCACTCGAACGAAAACCACAAGAACCTGCTTGATGAGTTGATCTGCTTAGTAGATCTCCAAGATGTTTAAAAAACTAGAAAAGAACAGCTTTCAAAGGGGGTTGCCTGAAGCTGAATACCTGGATGCTGAGAGGAACCGAGCTCGCCTGACACAGCGCAGCATGCAGGGACATTCGGCAACCACAGCTTTGGAACCTTCACTCTTCTTTGGAACCTCCACTGACTTCAGCAGGAACGTGGCTGGTCCCCAAACCCTTGACTTTCTCATAAAGAATAACAGATAAAGAGTAATCACCCACTTCTTGCACTCATTATAGGATTTCTGTTATCAGGATGTATCAGTAAGCAGGGGGTGCACGGGCAGAGCTCGACACAACACCTGAGGGCAAAAGGGATTAAGTTCAAGGTTTAAAAAATGAAATCTGCATTATTTTATTGAAAGGATATAGTAAGAAATAACAACGTGCAGTTGAGGACACCTATAAACAACAAAATGGAAAATTTTTTTTCTGTTAGTTAAGAAGAACAAGAATAATGTGATGAAGCTGATAAAACTGGGCAAAACACACTGAGGGGATCTCAGCTATCTGAATGATCTCCCCAAGAGACAAGGCCAGCAAGAAGTACTCCCAGAAGAGCCTCTGCACTGGTGAGAAATGGCAAAGATGATCTCACAAATCCCCATCTTCCTTTAACTCTCAAGTCCTGACTCTGGGACCTTCCTTCCAGGTTACTCACAGAAATGGGGATTCAATTAACTCACCAAGGCTTGTAAGAAAAAAACATCAGACTGCAGGATTAACTTGAGGAATTACAGGTTCTGTCTGTGGCTAAACAATAAACTCCGTTCTTGGCAAGTACCTACAACAACATTACATCATCTGGCACCAACACCAGCCACAGCAAAACCAGACGGGCCAGGCAGCACACGCAGCTCGGTGGGAGAAGGAGCAGGGAGGTTCCAGGAGGTAGCACAGCTGTGTCACCACCGCTCACGCTGCCGTTCAGGTGCACGTGGTGCTGCCAGCTCAGTCTCGTGTCATCAGCCTGGGCCACAGGCCTCTCAGCAAGTGTCCTCTGCTCTGGGCAGCTGTCCCCCAGCTCAAGGCAGCTGTTGGTGAGACAGTTTCACATTTTCCAAAGCATAATCTCCTGCGAGGCAGAGAGCACCACTGCCCAGCTCAGCCAGTAAATCCTTAGCAGACACAGACTGAGAGCAGCAGAGCTGTTACCAGACACAGAAAAGTGTAGGATGCCGTGATACAGTACAAGTCCTTTGGGAACCTGTAACTGATGTGGTGTCAGGGACATATTTGGGGAGTTTTCATCCCACAGGAATTTTGAAGCAAGACAGGCAAACCTCTGCTGGGGACATTTTCCTGACTTTCACTGCCAGCAGCCTCAGAGTTTGGGTCACAGAATGTGATCTGGTAGCATGGACCTCCCTTCCCGTGCCCTGTCTAGCTTTGGGACAAGGACTGCCCTGGACAGCAGAGTCAATCTGCTTCACCAGGGACACCCCATTTCCACCTGCCTCCCCTGTTCTCCTCTCCTCCTGGCATGTCCTGGGGTGGCTCTGCTCCTCATTCTCATCCCAGTGCTTGCCAGATCATCTGTCAGGCCAGTTCAGGTTCCTAACCTGTCAAAACACCTCCCACTTTTGTTCTGTGCCACTTTAATGAGCTGATGTGGTTCACTCAAGCTCAAATGAACACCAGGACTCAGAGCAGCAGGAGCAGGACTTGTTGCACGGGGGGTCCTCAGCTCAGTTCACCCCTCTCACCCACTGCACCCTTCTCTCTCCTCCAACCCATCGTTCCTGCTGCCCTTCCCCTCTTTGCAGCTCTCCTCCAAAAGGGCACAGCCACAGCTTTGGCTGCAGCCAGGGAGCCTCAGTAGCAGGGAAGATGGCAAAAGCCTCTCCTGTATGATTTTAGTCACAATCTGTTTTAGGGAGCAGAAAAGGAAACAAAGAGCATTTGCTGCTCCATCTGTTTCCTTGTCCCACGCTGCTCCGGTTGGGTTACCGCCAGCTGCTGCCACTGCCAAGCGGTAACGCGACAGCGCGGCTGCTCACCCCGCAGGAGCGGGAGCTGAAGATGGCAGGGCAGGAAAAATTAGGACAGGATGATTTTTAAAAAGCCCCACTGCAGAACACCTGGCTGGTTATATAAATTTACATCGTGCCCACCATAAAAAAACCTTGCTGGTTGCTGCTTAAAAACAGGTATTTTTACAAATGGTCAAATATCTCCAACTATCTTTTTGCAAAAGGACTGCTCTGGGATGTTCAGTATCTTCAGTCAGCTTCACAAAACAGACAAGGTTGTTGAAGAACAGGGATGTTTTTTCTTTGCCTCATACTTGCTAAGGTCGTTTGTCAGAGAGGATTTTCACAGTACACAATCCAGAGAGCCTCAGCCAGCAACTCCTCCACCCGGGTCAGCCTGGTCCCTCCCGTTCAGTAAGGCATCTGAGACCTTGGATACAAGATGTCTGTGCTGAAATACTGGAGAATTCACCACATATGTCTGCCCAGCTCAAACCTCCACCTCCCAGACATGGAGTTACAGAAGGGACCTTTAGTGGGCATTAGCCCAAGCTCCTCCTTGAAGTGAGACCATCACCAGCACTACATCAGGTCAACCACGGCTTTGCGTAGCCAAACCCTGAAAATCTCCAAGGACAGAGATTCCATCACCCATCTGAGTGAACCCAGCAGCCCCAACCAGCCCAGCACTTTATCTGATTTCCTGTTGCAACAAAGAGCTCCCCACACCAAGAAACCTTGCCCGCGTGTCGGCGCTCGCAGGAATATCCGGGTAGTAGTTTGACCTGTTTAACACAGGGCTTTCACAAAACAGAATGTTTTCTGGTATGATTGGCTCCTTCACTACAAGAGTGCACAGAGCTGCTCCTGCCTCCCCTCCCAGCCATGGGGGTTGTGGTGGTGGAGGCAGGAGGAGGTGACAGGCAAGCTGGACACAAGATGACAGCCCAACAGTGCCATACTCACCATGCAAGAGGAGCAGAGCAGGTTTGGTGACGGTAACCAGGGTCAGCAGGATCCAGTGCCTGCTGACCCAGTGGGTGGGCCTGGCACAAGCTTCACCGGAATGTAGCTCAGGTGAGGTCCAGGGCGAGGACCTGAGCTCAAATGCAGCTCCCAGGTGGCACCAGGAGCTCCCAGTGAAGCACCTCCCAGCTCATCCTCCCGCCATCACTGGTGCCCTGGCAGGCGGATCCAGGGCTGCAGCTGCACCAGGGCAGTGCTGACTGTAAGCCCAGCCACACAAACCTTGCCAAGCATTGCAGGCATCTCCTCCCAGTATCGCCAGTCTCTCCTCAGCACAGGGCAGTCATACCTGACTGGAGATGTTACTGCTCCCCTCGCTGTGCATGGAGACAGTTACTGTGGGGCAGGGCTGGGCTGGGCTGGGCTGATTCCAAGCTGTGCAGCCCAGTCTGTTAATGGGGGCAGAGCGAGGGCAGTGCCTGCTGGCCCACACCTCAGGGGCAATATGATGGCTGCGCTTACAGCCGTGGCACATCTGCCTGGGCATTAAACATCTCTCAGCCTGGGACAAGTGGGCAGGGCAGCAGCAGTGCAATCCTGAGCTCTCCATAGCTGTGGCATCACTGGTTCTTCCACACCTCCAGATGAAAAAGACCCCTCGTGCCAGGTCCTCTACCTGCCATCTTCTGACGTGGAGTGTGTGCCCAAGAACGAACGTCCATCAGCTGAGCAGCTTCACAAAAGGTTGTACAACTCCAAATGCAGTTTCTTCTACTTGGGAGCAGCATCTGAGGAACAATTCCAGCATGATCTCAGAGAGCTGGCTCCTTTTGCAGTTCTGCAGCAACAGTTGTAGGAAAAAGCCTTCAGCTCAGAACAGGCAGCAAGGGGATACCTTGGCCTGGAAACATTGATCATATTTAACTCATCTTACAGGGATCTGGTGTTCACAGCCTCACAATTCATGAAGGCTGTTTCCTCTTGTAGGCAATATGGTTTTTTTATTAGCAAAAGAGCTAGGGCCCTCTTCTCTCACAGACAGTGCAATGTCTTTGCCATGCTCTCAAAGGCTGTTCAGTCACTTCATATTCAACTCCTGCTACCCCTTTTGGTGTATTGACAACAGGCATTCTGACTGGCGGGCTTGATCTCCCATGTACATGTCAAGTAGTGACCCACTTGTATTTCTGGAGGAGAACTTCCTTGTGCTACTGCACCAGGTACCAATAGCAGAAGTTTTCCTCAGCCCATGACTGCTTGAACTGTGAAAGTCTCTGAAAAAGTCACTGCAAAGTTCCCACAGAAGAGGCTTTTCCCTTAGCTGCTTCACTGTTCCCCTTGGGGATTTCTCTGCCCCTCCCTGAGTCACTGGTGTTGACAGTGCTCATGTTCACTGGCACTCTCTGGCTCTCCTGAAGAGGTGGACTCTGGTCCACAGCTTTCCTCCTGCGTGCAAGTCACAGTCTCAGAGCTGTCTGTTGTGCCTGGCAATTGAACCTCCTTTCACCCAGCTTTCCTGTTGCAGCAGTGGGGATCTCTGCTCCCAAGAGTGTCTTTGCTGTCAGCAGGTGTGTGGCCCTACTCCAGTGGAGAGGTTCTGACTTCGTGGTGGTTTCCTTGCTCTGCATTTTGGTGCCCTGCTGCTGCGTGACTTCGTGCAGGTCAGCACAGAGCTGCCAGCCCACGAGTCGGGCTGACCCTGGCATGTCATCCCAGCGTGTCCTCTGCATCCTCACCTTCTGTGGCCTCAACAGAGACGGGATCTCCGTGCAGAATAACATCCCCAGAGTCTGAGCTGCAGCAGCCAAGCAATGATGTTCAGGTTCTCTCCAGCGAGGCTGCCGGAGGTGTAGGTGGAAAACAGCCTACCCTTTATCATCAACCCCTGAAATATGCAAAATAAAATGAGAACATCGCAGAAAAAAAGTACTACTTGTCTGGCTCCTCTTGCAGCCAACTTTACACTTATTGTATCAGGTCCCTCACTTTGGGGGTCCCTTGAAGCTGGGGCTCCTGCAATCTCCCATGTCCCCAGCTCTTATTTTCAGTCTGTCCAAAGTCTCTTTCTGGCACAGTGATGTCAATCAGGCTGTTAAAGTTCTTACACACCAGATCTGTACCTGCAGGAGCCCTCGAACAGAGACTGTCTGGCTGCTCATGAGCACCTTCCCAGTATCGCCGTTTCCCTGAGGACAGGTATAGCCTGTATTGGCAAAGGCGAGTAATCTCTGCACCTCCACAAGGAGAGCTGCCAATCTGACCACAGTAGAGCCAAACCAGCAAATTTTTGTTTCCGACATAGACCTGGTTTAACTCTCCCCCTTCCTCTCCTGCCAGCCTGTGCCTCAGTCCCTGAGCTCTGCAGCCCCACAGAACTCAGCCTGCCCTGCCTGCTGTCCTGCAGCACCTCGGGTACGTCCAGCAGCTTCCCAGCCCCCGCTGGCCCCGCTCAGGGACCCCCTGTAAGCAAGTGCAGCTGTGAGAGCAGCCCCGAGCGCAGCGGCCATGATCTCACTGTCTCTCTATTTGTTATTTAAAAGTGCAGTGGGACTTTCACGGGAATGTCTTCAGATTAAGTTACCCTCAAGTTTTCAGAAGTGCCAAAATGCCGTCTGCAAGCGAGTGCAGTGTCGCTCTGTGCGGGACCCCGGCCGTGGGCTTGCCCAGGGTCATTAGTAAATTGAACAGACTCATTTCTGACTCTAGCAGACATTTGCTGCATGGTGTGAAACGGGCCAAAAATCACTCTGTTAGTGGCAAAATCCACCCGCTGTTAGAGGTCTAAGGCATCCAGGCAGCTCAGCTCCCAGGATTTGCCCCCACATGGGTTTGTTCCTATTCTGGAAGCATAGGACCTTGGGAGCAGTGCCACATTGCAGCAGTTACTGAGATAGCAGGGGCTCTGCCGTGCCACCGTGCCAAGTGACATTCTCCAAACCGGTGGCTGACAGAAGCCGATCCAGCAGGGCTGACCTTTAGTGCATGGCTTGTTTATTCAGACTCCTCAGGCTGGTCGAGGAGTAGGGCTCTGCTTGTTCCTGAGGCCTCTGAATCTACACTGTTTGTACCTTGCTGGTGGATCTGTGCATGCACTGGGGACACAGCTCTGGCCAGTCTACTGTGTGCTCAGGACACAGAGGAAGACAGAAAATCCACAATACCTGCCCCGATAAAATTGCTGGGGAAAAAAAAAGAACACTGGACAAACCCAGAACCTGGCAGCCTTTCCAGTCGGACTGAGCCAAGGTTTGGTACTCTCTCACCTGAAAGCAGGGACAGCCCAGCACTCAGCATAGGCAAAGACGCTTTCTTCTCTCGATGCTCCAGGCTGGTTCTGCCGCTTTCCATCTCCGCTCTCGGAGGGTGCCGTGAGTACCGGAGGGCAGAGCAGGGCCAGTAAAGCCCCGTGCGGCGCGGGCAGGGGGAGGCAGCGGCGGGGGGCACGGTCCCCGACCCAGCAGCGAGCACAGGCTGCCCTGGGGCCGCCCCAACACCGCTCCCCAAGGGTCCCCGAGCGGGGACGGCGGGTGACCCCCGACCGCGGGTTTATTCACACAACGGGTCACGACCGCCGACCGCCGCCATTGACCTGCAGCCCAAATAACACTTTAGCGGCTCCCAAACTGAGGCCCCAGCTCCGCTCCCCCCTCCTTGTTTCCACCCCCCGGGCCACGACTCGGTCGGGCTCCGGCACGGCCGCAGCCGCCGCCGCCAGGGGCTGCCCTCGAACCGCGGCCCCGCCGCTGCCGCCCGGCCCGCCCGGCCCCGCCCCGGCCCGGCGCGGCGGCCCCCGGCAGAGGGACCCGGGGAGCGGCCGGGGGTCCCGGGCCGGGCCGGGCCGCGCCGCCCCCGGGCGGGGCCGGGATCGGGTTTCACATCCTGCCCCGCTCGCTGGCACAGCGGCCATGGCGGAGAGGTGAGTGCGGCCGCGCGCACCTGTTGAGCGGCGGGAGCGGGCGGGAGGCCCCGCTGCTGCCCGGGCAGGGCCGGGGGGCACCCCCGGATCGAGGGGCCGGGGCGGTGCAGGGCCGGGCCGGGCCGGGCTAGGCTGGGCTGGGCTGGGCTGGGCGAGCCGCGGCCGCAGGTGAGAGGCGGCAGGGCAGAGCCGGGCCGGGCCGGGCCGAGCCGAGCCGAGCGGGGTTGAGCCGAGCCGAGCTTAGCCGAGCCGCCAAACTCATGCGGGCGGTGGTCCCGGGCCGCCTTCCGCCGTGCCGGGCTGTCCGCGGGGGAAACTCCCTCCCGCACCGTCCCAGCTCCCGCCGGGACCGGGCTGTTTGCGGGCTCCGAGCACGGGGGTCCGCCCTGAGCTCGGCTGAACCCTGGGCCAGACCCCCCGTCCTGCCCGGACCCCGGTGGGTCAGAGCCCCGGGGCCGTGGCCGGGCCCCGCCGGTGCCCCCGCACGGGCGGCTCGTCGGGAGCAGCCCCGGGTTCTGTGCCTGCCCGGGCTCCTGGCGCTGCGCCGGGCGCACTCGGGGGCTGTTTCCTTGCTTAAAAAACAAGCACTTTTGCAGAATGACACTGAGAACACTGTCGGGCGCAGGAGCGGCTGTTGCACTTGGTTTGCTGGAGAGCTGTGACCAGGAGAGGGTTCTCTGGTCACCTGGCAGCGGGTGGGGAGCCAGGATCACCTGTTGGCAGCGAAAATGGAGGGCCAGGTAGCCAGGCCAGTTTCCCAGCCTGCATCCGGCTTCCCACAAACGCAGGCGGATTTTATGGCTCCTCTGAATAACCCCATTCAGGGAGAATTCCTCCTGGTCGCTCTGCGCCTCGGCTCGGCGGCCAGAAGTGGTTGAATTAAGTTGGGCTCTGCCGGGACGAAGGTGCAGAGCCTGGCAGAGGCACCGTCCTCCCCATCGCCGATGCCAGTTGCCGCTGTGCTGTTTTGCCAGCGTTTTTTTTCGTCCTAGATTAAAAACTCGGCCGATTTAACATTCCTGCAGCGCGGCTCTCCCCAGGGGCACCAGATTTCAGCTGGCTTCTCACATTCTCATTGTCTGGGGGAGAGGAGGGAGGGCTGCGCTGGCGTTTTGCCCAGTGCCTCGGTGACGGTGCAAGGTGTTTG